TATCTAATTTATTAAATTCTTCACAATCTTTGCATGATTATAACTTTTGGAGACATCATATCCCAATCTGGTGTTTTAGAGGAGAGATTACTGAATAGCCCCTCTATAAATACAGTGGATGAAGTTAATAGCAAGCCAGAGATTAACTACTTTTGGTTAATAGCAATGTTATGCCAGGAGCCGAGTCCATCCCATTGACATTAATGTTAATGAGATTTGGATATTGGCAACAGCCATGCTGCTTATCAACAACTTTTCACCTCTCCCTACTGGTCCTGCCCTGGTATTGGTTGCCTGGGCTTAGCACATCCCAGCACTTTCTTCCCTGGCTTCAGCCTCACAAACCTACCTGTCTCTGGGGACCCACTGCCCAAATAGTAGGTAATGGACTGGGGCACCTGCATCTCCACCCAGCCGGGAAGCCCCTGCTGGAATCCCGGCACTATAGGTTGAGAGGGGAGGTTTCAGGCAGGGCAGGAATGTGGAAGGGCGTGGGGTTTTCCATGGAAATCTCAGGGAAAACTTTCTAACTGTGAGAACAGTAGGACAGTGGAACAGACTGCCTAGGGAGGTCATGGAAGCTCCTTCACTGGAGGTTTTCAAAAGGAGGCTGGATAGCCACCGGTCTTGGGTGGTCTAGACACAACAAATCCTGCATCTTGGCAGGAAGTTAGATTAGATAACCCCTTATTGTCCCTTCTAACCCTATGGGTCTATTATTCTAAATATTGGCATTAAATATCACTCCTACCTCCATTGCTCAGAAATGCTCCTGAAGTGCTCTCAATCCTCTGAGGATGGTTAAGAAGAAGGGGTGGGGGGGACCATACAATTACTTTACACTTCAGCTATTAGGACCCAATGACAGCAACATCAATGTTGATGCCTAAAGAAGCTGGTGAGAACATAGGGAAGCACACCTGATACTCCAAAAAATGCTTTGGAGCCATTTAGAGGGCAATTTAAACTGATCAAGGAAGACCTGTAGACCATTATCATAGACATCAGATGATATTTAATCAAAACAGGTGGTGGCTAAGAAGGGGGATTAATAATGCTGTGCAGGGAGCTTATAGTAACACAGAGACAAGAAAAATAATTTGTCAACATTTACAAACCAGAATTTAGGTACTTAAATCTGTATTTAGGAACCTCAATAAGTGGCCTGTTTTGCAAAGATGCCAACATCCAGCAGCTCTCATCAAGGCCCTTCCTGGGAATAAGTTTTGAGAAGATTGCGGTGAGAAAATTCTATAATATCTGAATACTTCATGCTTCTGTGTCCACAATGAATCTGGGTTCAGACCTGAGTATGATACGGACATTGCACTAGTTCTGTTGGTTAATGTTGTGCTAATGATGGATGAAAGTCAGGTGGCCACTTTGATTTTGTCAGACTGATCAGCTAATATTTGGAACCATTAACACTATGATATTTGTCGAGTCATTAGCCTCTGTGATAGTTTTCATTTTGCTCCTCCTTTCAGCAATAAGGGAGGAGCAAATAGATTATTTATCCTCTAAAAAGAAATATTGGATTGATCGCTTGAGAAGTTTGTGATTTTTGTCCCTCTTATGTGAGAAATTGTGGACCTTTGTCTCTGGAGATATCTGAAGAGAGCAGGAGTCACCCACGAGTGGCTTGACTTCTTCCGAGCAGAGAGATCCCAGAGGGTAGTACTGAATGATTACAGTTTTGCTATGGGGGCTCTGTCTTTCTGTAAGACTATAGCTTGCTCCGATGCACATTCAATGGAGAATGTAAAATGGAGATAAAACATTTTATTATTGATTCTAATACTGCACTTATACATGTGCAGAAGTATGATTCTGTTTTTTGAAACCTGAAAATATCTGTATTGAAGAGTTTGTGGGCTAAATTTTGCTCTCATTTATTTTTTGGCAAAAAACATACTCTACTAGATACACATACTGCTTTGACAATTGCTGATATCCTCACTTATTGAATAAATAATTCTTTTGAAAAAAGTCCATATTAGACATAAAATAATTAGGTGCATTAATGACTGGAACTGCGCACATACCATGAAACATTTTCTGTAAATAATGCTACCATGAATATGATTTTGCCCTGCTCAGCTTTGGCCCTTTTTTGAATTTGTTTAATACAGACATTGGCATGATCCAGTTGTAGTCATGATCGTGGAAAGTACATTTTAGTTTAGATATGCAAATATTTGTTCTTGGTTTATTTTATATATGTTGGGATTTTTGTCAACACAACAGTGGGAATAGATTTACAAAAGCCCGGATCAGATCTTTGGCAAAGAAGTAGTCGAATGAACTAGATAAGAAGCTAACCAAATCCTTTGTAACTAAGACTATGCACACATGTGCTGTTGTATTTTATCAGTGACTGGTGATGATAGAAAATTACAGGTTACTATACATACACACTGTAATTAATATATTTTATATGGACATATGGCACTGATTAACACCCTTCACAACTTGCACAGATCAGCAGCTGCTTTGTGTGAACATAAGAGAAGATTAAATTTAAATGAGTTTGCATCCAGCCAACATATAATATAGTAGCCTAAAGTTAAGCTTGTGCATAAGTGAGTGGAGGATCCATGTCTTACTGAACAATGGCGGAAATACATTAAATGACATCACATGCCTGCATGTGGAGGGGAATTAAGGCATTTAATTGCACAATAAATATGGTTTTAGTCATCAGTGGTGTTTAGTGATATGCACCTACTTTAATTGTATCACATAATAAAGTACTGCATGTCTGTCACTTCCTGTTTCTCTTAACACTGGTGTTGACTGAACTGCTGTCATTCAAGCATCCAAATCCCATCTGATGCTGTGAGTAGACTCTGGTTGGTAATATCTTTTCCTTCCTGAACTCAGGTTTACATTTTAGATTCTCTTTTGGAGGCAAAATATCTGATAAATTGTACCTCAGTCACTTGGTTTGTGTCACATTCGTAGATGGTTTTTGACAGGTCCTTATATGGAGTTATGGTGAATGCTTGTAACATTTCCTCAGAAGGAATGAGGAGAATTGACATTGCAACTCCTCTGGTCTATATATTTTGTGGGGGAGAAAAGATTGTTGGAATGAGGGACAATAGACGGAAAGTTTCCTCAGGGTAGATCTGTTCCTTTTCATAGATTGAGACATTACTTAAAGTTATTGTAAGATGTACTATTTACAGTACGTTACAAAAAGTGCGTGGCCCAAAAGAGTATTCATCTGAACTGAGCATGATACTTTAAATTGATATAGGCGAGTATTTTGAGTTCTTAATATACCATTCAACAGTGGGTTCTTTTTGTGCTGTTTTCAATCAAACCTAACTTTCAGTCTTCCAACTTGCGTTGACGTGCCACTACTCTGTTTGTTTACAGCATGTTTATTTTTGTAAAATTCTGTGGTACTTTTGACTCCTCAACAAAGTGAGGGATTGGTATCACAGCATAGAATCAGGGAGAGTGATTGCAGGCTATATTAAAGTCATGCTTTTTAAGCACATTTGCTATTCTGGTCATATTATAAATATGTCTTTTATTGGGAGATGTGATTACTATACGGGCCAAGTAGTATGGAGGTTTTATGATGTATTCTTGACAAATTTATAAAAAAAAAATTAATTTGAGAAATTTATAAACCTGGAAATAATGGTTTATAGTAGTATGTTAGATTATAAACTCTTTGTGGCAGGGACCATGTCTTCCTATGTGTTTGGTCAAAGTCCAGTACAATAGGCTCCTGATCCACAATATATTATTAAGTAATAATCAAATAACAAATGTATAGATATGGCCATAATCTGACTGGCATGAATGCATTCCTTGACATATTTTTAATACTTCCTTTTATTGTGTTTCTGTGTTTAACAAAACATAAGACACTAACTTACATAACACCTGTCCTGGGTATAAAGCAATTTAACTGCTTGGTAGTGCTGAAGGTATAACAGTTGTGATAGACCCAGGCCAGTGGGGTACAGCAGAGTAGCAGAAGGCAGATATACTGGCCACTGGATTGACAGTTTTCTGTTCCCTGACTGACCAGAGCAGGGGCTGCTCCAGGCTAATGAGAACACCTGACTCCGATTAACCTGCAAATAGTCAGGTGAGGCCATTAAGCTAATGTAACCACCTGACTCTAATTAAGGCGCCTCTGATAATATAAAAAGGCTCACTCCAGTCAGGCAGAGAGGAGCTAGAGGTGAGGAAGTGTGGCTGAAGGACTGGTTAATGAAGACACTCTCAAGTAATCGGTAAGGGTGAAGAAGGGAGAAGCAGGACAGCTGTGGGGAAGTGGCCCAGGGAAATGTAGCAACTCTGGCAGTAAAAGGTTGGCTGCCAACAGCTGCTACTATTAGGGTCCCTGAGCCGGAACCCAGAGTAGAGGGCGTGCCTGGGTTCCCCCAACCCACCACTACAGAAATACCTCCTGGGAGGGGAAAACAGGCCCCTGTCAGGACAGGAGGCTAAACTGTTTTGGTATGAGGCTGTAGGAGCAACAGAGACTGTGGGAATTCTCTCACCAACCTCCATTACTGGCTTATGATGTAAAGGGCTCAGTGGACTGTATCCCTGGCCCTAGAGAGAGAAGGGCTATGTGGAGGGTTGCAGTGAGCCTCTGAAGCTAGCATAAACCACCTGGAACCATGGGACCCACGGGGACAAGGTCGGAGCTCTGCCACGCAGTGTTTCACATAGGACCTGATCCGTCTTCTATTGCAGGCAAAGGGAGTGTTTCAATAAGAGTTGGATATGGCCATAAATTCAAATTAATCATGACGGAGACTGAAGTAGGGCCTGCCCCCAACTGAACTCAATATTACTATGCTTGTGAGTAAGAATTGGCAGGCAAAATAGTGCTCTCCCCCCCCCATTTTCCAACATGAATTTCACACTCTTTGTATACACGAGAGAGTTGGAATAAATGTTACAAAACCAAGATGTATGTTGGTAGAAATGTTATTAACAGACACATTTTTTTTCACAGAAACAAGATGTGGTGGTTTATTGCATTAGCCTATCTAATACAAGTTGTTACAAGCTCAGAAGAACTCATCAAGAAGAAAAGAAACATGAATCCTGAAACGTTTATGAATATTGTAAGTCAAGTATTTGTGAAAATGTTAACTATAATGGAGCATAATAATTAGACACAGGCCTGAAAATTCAGATTCAGGTTGAGGGCCGCATTTCAAATTTTCAGCTACAACATTTGGGAATGTCTTGTTTTGGGATTTAGAAAGGCTCATTAAAGACATCCACCAAGTGACCGAATTGAAAACCTTGGATCCAAGTTTAGGTCCATATTTAATATTGATAATGTTTCATTAACAAGTTTTCTCTTTAACTTTTTCCATTCCCCCACTATACTATATCTTCCCCACTATACCTTCAGTCTGTTTTTCCAAAAGGGCCTTCCAATTTATCTGTATTGAAGGATGGATCAGGGGAAGTATGAAGTGTGCATATGAGTAAGTCCACTATAAATGGGAGTGATCTCTTATATTCAGTTCCATGCATTTCCTTGTTCCCGGGCAGAAAATTCTTCGCACCTCTCTTCTCTTCTCATATGTCATGGTTTCCTATTTTGAGACCGGATCTGAGCCAGCAATAACAAGTCTACATAATAGTTATGCTCAAACACTTTTTTTTTTTTTGGACAACCCTTGGGAAGTGATTGCTTGTATGTATGTTAAGGGATTATTAAATAGATTATTATGATTTAAAGTATGAAGCATAAGATGAATCTTTACAAGAGATAAATTATAAGAAAATGTGGAGCTGAACAGGTGGAGACTTTGCAAAGGGAGTGAATTTCAAGGAGGGAGTGAAGCAGAGAAAGGATGTTTGGTGTGTTTCTGTGGTATTGTAAACACTTTATAACCTTACTTTTAGAAAGAACTTTATTATGAATCCTCTTATATCGTGGAGCCAACCATTTTCTGAGATGTAAAGATATATAATTATTATAGGACAAAGCAAATCTAAGAGAGTCTAAAGTTTGGTTTAATTGAAACTCCCCAGTGGAGTGGATTTTAATAGCTAGAGCTGTCAGAAGGCAAGGACAATCGCTGTCAGAGAATTGCACAAGAGCATGCTGGATTCCTGCACCTCTTGTGTTTTCCTGCAGTGCTGGCCCTTCAGGTTAGGCAAGATGGAGTTCGCCTACCTTGTTTTGGCTCAGGTATATTGCAATCATTATCTGTAGATGTAAATTGGCTCAGAAAGATTTAGCATATCAATTTTGCTACCAATGTTCAGTTGAGTTGTCAGCAGACACCATTGCTTATAATCTTCTGGTTCTTACGAGTTCCTAAAGCTGGCATTTTTCCAGAATGCTCTGCACAAACCTACTCGTCACATACGAGGATGAAGTGTTTATATGATTAAATACTCAGGGTCTGGGTTCCAGACCCTATCTCCACTCCATGTGCCTAATTACCTTTCTGTTTGGGTTCATGTTGCAATCCTGGCAAGCTCCCCCAGCTGGACGCTCCCAAGGCTGTTGTGTTTGGGCCTCTCACACTGGGCCCATGTGCTTTAAGTGTCCCCTAGTCTGAGTAGTCTGTAACACTGTCTCTTTTCTTGGCATCTCTGGCATGCTTCCTGGGCACAGGCTCCCTGGTTTGTTACCCCGTCACCAGTGCTAATACCCAGATTCTCCCATACTTTAAGATCATCCTATCCCTGATCTCCAAGTTTGTGGCAACTCTGTGTTTACAGTGAAACAAATAGATGCACAGATTTCTCAAAAGATTCCAAAAACCAATAACTCTTTACTTTAGCTAGCACAAGAAATATACAGAGCTAGACAAAACTATAAGAATCCTGTACATATTTTTCTGCCTCAATGTCCTCAGCACTCTTGACCATTCTTTGAGCTTAGGGCAGAGTACACTAAGGAGTCCAGGATACCATCTCCTGCACATGGCTTTTCCTCCAAATTATGGAGTCTCTCCTCTTCTCTGCACAGTTTCCTTATTCCTCAGCCAGTCCTACAGTTAAATAGAACCGTTCTACTGTGACAGCATGTCCCTCTTTTCCTTTTTCCTGACCAAATGCCCTTTGTGTCATTCTTTGAGTTCCTCTTTGTCAGGGATCAGGCTCATCAGGTGATCAATGTCCCACCAGATGATCTATTGTTTAGTTACCCTCCTCCCTGGAGTTCAGACTTTGAAAAACTGGTTTGCCCTGGGCAGCAATCATCTATTTGCTAAAGGTGCTCCATTTGAATGGAGGATCATCAAAGTTGAGTGGCCTACCATTGTTCCTGATCAGAGAGATAGACGACAACCCTGACAGCTGATGGTGACTGGGACATATTCAATGATACAGCAATTTCATAAAATCAACCAGAATTCTTAAGTTGTACATAAGCAAATTCTCCAAATCATCACAGATCTAAAGTTACTTTTTATTATATTTTTCTTGTTAATAGTCATTGATGCTTTTTATGCCCAAATAAATTTGTTAGTCTCTAAGGTGACACAAGGTTGTTATTCCAATTAAAACTACTTTCAAATAATAGATTCCTGAATATTTATTTCCTTCCGACTAATGCCATTGCATTTGGATGTGTGAAGAAAGAACATGGAAATGTTTACATTCTTTGTGGAGAAATTTTTCTAAGCTTTTCCATGACTAATCCAGCCTTCTTAGCACCTCCTTGTTCAGATAATTGGGCTGGAAATCTCAGGAGAACAAGCTCTCTGGGAATATTTTCAATATTTCCTGGTTTGGGCCAGGTTAGGAATAAAAATCTCTCTCTATTTTAGGCTTTGTTCCATATCCCAGTTGAAACTAATTAAGTGCAGGAACTCATAAAAGTTAAACAAACACTCATGCTAACACTTCCTCGTGGGGAAATGCCCTCTTCCCTGCAACAGATAATTAAAAATCTGATACCTGTAAACAATCTTAGACATTTATTTTAATTCCCTCAGAGTCAGTTGATCTGCTATGAAGGATATCCCAGTGAGGAGTATGAAGTTCTGACTGAGGATGGCTATTATTTGAGAATAAACAGAATTCCTTATGGCAGAGAAAAACCTACAGACAAAGGTATGGCTCCATTTTGTTTGATGCAAAAAACCCCAAATAACACTCATCCAAAATAAAAAAAAACAACAACCCACCAATCCAAGTAAATATATACATACATACACACACACACAGGAGGCATGTTTAATATCTGGGGAAAAATCCTGAATATAAATATCAGACTGAAAACCAATCAATCAAGTCTTTACACATTTCTATATGTTCATGATTTTTTCTGAACAAAACAGGGTGTGGAAAATTGAGAACGATTAGGTCATGGTTTTTGACATTAGCAATGACATAAGTCTGAGAACAGGAGAGGCTGGATGTCTGTTGGCTGAGTTGCACAGTGATTTTTTTTCCCTATAAATTCGTTACTTTTGTATATTTTGTTCTGTTTGGTGGTTATGTCAAGCAACCAGCCTTAGTTATGAGCAACTAAAAACAGGGATTTAGTATGGAAATACTTAGGAAATCTTAACTACAGATTTTAGCAGCATTACAGCTAATTATACATGTATATGTATGGAATACTAATGACAGCCGTAGCTAAAATTCCCTAAACATTTCCATTCTAAACCCCTGTTTGCCGTTGCTTTTTACTATAGCTAATTATTTGTCATGGGGTATCATACTTGTGGGTGTGCTCTGATTTAAAGGTTTTATCAGCATGTGTTTGGGATGAGTGAAATACAGTATGTCATTTTGCCATGTTACTTTACCAAACCTGTATTTCTGTATTCCATTTATTTAGGTCCAAAGCCAGCTGTGCTTCTCCAGCATGGATTGTTTGGTCAAGGTAGCAACTGGGTTGAAAATTTGGCCAATAACAGCCTGGGCTTCATGCTAGCAGATGCTGGCTATGATGTTTGGATAGGAAATAGCAGAGGCACAACCTGGTCTCAAAGACACCAGAAATTTTCAGTTGCCCAAGAGGAATTTTGGGATTTCAGGTAGGATGAACTGGAGAGAAACTAGTGAAAGCGGCAAACTGTTTTGCTTGTTGGCAATTCTGTATGTGTGGTGATCCATGTTTCTCTTAATTCATGTGAACTTCAATTTGTGTGGTTTGTGCACAGCAATGGTGCTCATACAGGATTTAGATCTGTAATTTGGCTCCATTGTCAAGGCATTGGGAGGCCAACAGTTTAAATCAGCAGAGAACTTCCTCCTGCACCCCCTACTCACATCATTAATGCCACTGATTTTCAGTAGCGCTAGGACTGAAAGACATAGCACAGAGTTAAACAGAACCCTCTGTGTGGTAGAAACCTTCGCATTGAAACGTTTCTTTGTCAGGGCCATTAGTCGCCTACAGAAATATAATGTGCTGTTAGATATGTTTAGTTCATTAAATATCACAAAGAATCTTTCCCTCACTGCAATCCTATCCAGTGGCCAAGGGCAGTCAGTCCCTGAGCACAAAGCAGAACAGGGATTGCTCTCACCTTGCACCCGGGGTGATAGAGTTTGTCCCAAAGAGGTTAAAGAGGAGCATGGAACAGGCCCTGCCCTCTTCACACTCTGGACTGGTGCAAATGGAACTATGGGGAGCAGGCAAGCACCATGCTAAACGGGCAACTGCACATTCCCTTTCACGTGCGGAAGCTCAGGCATAAAATGCAAGGAATACAGGTTTCAGGCATTGTTATCAAGCTTTCCAACTGGTTGCTGCCTCCCCTTTGGGCATTATTTAACTATAGCTGAGCCATTTCCTAACAAGCTGCTTGTTAGTTATTTACTGGAACTGGGTCTAGTTATTAGAATACCTTTTAAAGGACATTACCATTTTCCTTTAGCACAGAAGCAGAATTAAGAGCATTGGGCTAACATTAATTCAAATATCATGGCTTGGCCAACAGGGCAGTCTTATCTTTCCTAGGTTTGTAAACACACTCCATATTGAAAAATAAGGCATCTGTATTATGTAGAGAGACAAAGACTCAAACTCGGGGCTGGCAAACCTAGGCTGGGCTGAATCCCTGAATAGTCGGGTCTGTCACATAACAGCTCAATGGTTCACCAGTGTTGCATTCAAATGTATGTGGGCAGGATTTGCTGGCCAGATTCTCTCCTTAGCCGGAGCGCCACTCACTGCAAAGCTGGTTACAGCTCCCTGATTTTGAGAGCAAGCCGTGCTAATTTTCAGATGCTGCTGAGTAGCTCAAGGCTGCAGAACTCATATAGCGTCTTTAATGGACCTTTTACCAGTGAGGGGGTTGAGAGAAGGATGGAGTAGTAGCCAGAGGCACAGCTCCAGGTCCCACGCAGTTGCACTCAGCAGAGAGCTTCCCTAAACAGTGGGAATTTTCTCCTGGAAATTTACCCCCAAATTCCAGCCCCTTTATGTCACCTTAGTGGAGCATAGGAGCCATAACTTACTTGAGAATCTGGCCCTATAACTTCATTATGTGGTTAACTTCATATTTTTATATTGCAGTTTTCATGAAATGGGCAAATATGACCTTCAAGCTATGATAAACTTTATTCTGCAGGAAACTGGACAGAAGCAACTGTATTATGTTGGCTACTCCCAGGGCAGCACTATGGGTATGCTAGCAGAATTTGATGCATTTGCATTGTACTTTTCTCTCTCAAGTAAGAGAGGCTTTCTCTGGGCTATTATTAACTCTTTCATATGTTTATAAGCAGAAAATTGCAGAGACAATTCCCATTTTCGTTTAACATTGTGCAAGTACTTTATATAGGGCTAAGTCCAGGATTCCTTTCTCAGTTTTCAGTCAGACCTGATTCAAGTAAACGTCCCACTGAAGCCATGGAGCCTGTGATGTAATCAGAGATGGCCAACAGATTCCTAGAAAAACCAGAGAGGTTTTGGTGACCACCAAAGGTTCCTCTCTTGCTAAACTTCATCTTGCTGTCACAAATGGAATATTTGACTATACTTCAGCCTGAAATATCTTTCATTGCTGAAGGGAACAGGATACCCCCTAAAATTAACCAAGGGACTCTGCACCAAATTCATGGCTTTTGTTTTCAAGTGAAATGCATGGTGCTCCCTTCTTCCATACTAATGGATAGTCTAGCCCAAGTGTGAAAATGAGCTTATTGTTCCAACTCAGGCCTATCAAGTGTGATGGGGCAAGGCCAGATGGCTATAGTAAAGTAGTGGGAGACAGATATATTAGCCACAGACTAAACAAATCCCTGTTACCAGGATAAGCAAGTGGCAGCTGCTCCAGATCAATTAAGACACCTGGGGCCAATTAAGATCTTTCCAGAAGGCAGCTAGGTTGATTGGGACACCTGAAGCCAATCAGGGGCTGGCTGAAACTAGTTAAAAGCCTCCCAGTTAGTCAGGTGGGACCATGTGTTGGGAGTTGTAGGAGGAAGCCGTGCCATGGGAGATACTGAGCAATACAAACCATATCAGGCACAAAGAAGGAGGCCCTGAGGTAAGGGTGAAGTAGATATTGAGGAAGGTGAGGGGGAAGGCTGCTGTGGGGAAGTGGCCCAGGGAATTGTACATGTCCTGTTTCCAAAAGGTCCACTACCATGGCTAATACTATTAGGGTCCCTGGGCTGGAGCCTGGAGTAGAGGGCAGGCCCAGGCTCCCCTCCCCCACCCCCATCTCTCCCCAAATTAATAACTGAGTCTGGGAGACAACAGAGACTGTGCAAGGGAGAGTAGCTTCTCCTCACCTCCCTTGCTGGCTTATGATGAAAATGGCTCAGTAGGCTGTGACCTTTGCCTCTAGAGAGAGAAGGGCTATGTGGAGGGTCACAGTGAGCCTCTGAGGCTAGCAAAATCCACCAGGAAGTGCGGAACCCACGGAAACAAGGACAGAGCTTTGTCACACAAGTTATCATATTCTCTGTTAGTAATAGGGACAAAAGACTATCCTTTTAGTCTCAATAACTGATAATCGAGAGAGCTGTTTCTTGGCAATAGGCATTAAAGAGGTCCATATCAGGACTATATTTGACCACAGAAATAAAGAAATCTCCTTTTAACATCTCTGCTGGGAAAGCGATATAAAAGTTAAACAGACAGGTCATGAACAAATATCCCTGCTAACGCCACTGAAATGATGATGACTTGGTACAGTTCCCATTTCTGCCTGCTCTTATTCTGGGCTAAATTGCATCATTCAGCACAGTCACAGCACTCTTATGTCAGTCCCTGGCTAAACTATTTGATGACATCACCTGTCCTGATTCGTAGTCAAGGGCCATCCCAAACTGCTTGCAAATTCCCTCATTCTGTATTAGAACTGATTTCTTCTAAACCAAATACTACATGCTGGGTCCTGATGAACCCTCTGGTGGATTTTTCAAACAACTGCCTGTAAGTATTCAGTTGTTGTTTGTAAGATTTCTGTAATTATTCTCTTTCACTTTCTCAGCGTTCATAGCATTTTCCTCCATGCCACAGCTGGCACAGAAAGTCAAAATGTTTTTTGCCTTGGCTCCTGCTGTCACCACTGGACACACCAAAAGCCCTATGGTAAAAATGTTGTTAATGCCTGAAGGAGCATTACAGGTATGAGATTTCTCTGTATTTTATTACGCTACTGAGTTACTGGTCTTTAAAAAGAGGCGTTGTACCTGAACAGGAGTTCCGCGCGATCAGATAATACAAAAGGAAATATGCTGTAAACAGTTTAGATTGTCACTGGAATATTAATTCCGTCACAGTGCATGTATGTTCAGTAGCGTTTGTGGTGGTTTGGTTGATTAAACGTATGCCTTCATAACACTCTCTCAGTATGTGCAAAGTGTCAGACTTAACATCCCTGTTCAGAGTCTTATCTGTTGAATTTGTGACTTTAGTATGTTTAAATTAGCCATTTTAATGCTGGGTTCAAGTATATATATTTTTTAATTTATCTGAATGTGAATTTTCCAACTTCATGTTCAGCTTATTGTATTGATACCATTCAGATGCATATGACTGAGGTATCTGTACAAGTCAGGGGTAGAGGGTGGGAAATACAATTCTGCCTTCTTGCCTTGAATGAATGGAAAATTCCATGAGGTAGGCATGTATCAACTGTGACGTTTGTGGAATACACAGTTGATGGAGGCACAATTGTGGTCCTAGTAGCTACATGAAAACCTCAAGGAAGTCAGTTAAAGGTATGATCTGGATCAGGCCTGGACTGTGATAAGGCGACTATACAAAATACACTTTGAAGGTTCACTGTAAATAATGCCCTTTCGTTTTCACAGGATATTCTTGGCAAAAAAGACTTCCGCTGGTGGGGTAAGACTATGAGGGAGCTTGCTGCCACAATGTGCTGCTATGAATTACCTAATAGACTTTGTGCCAATATATTTTTCTTTGCGGGTGGATTCAATGAGAAAAACCTAAATATGGTATGTGTGTATATCTATATCAACCATATTTTAGTGATGAACTGAAAAAGTTAGCTTGATTTTAAACAGCATTTGTGCCAAATGTGCAATTATTTAATTTGGAATGAGTAAAGCAGGGTCCTTTTAATTGTTGTAGAGTTTTGGTAGGGACTTTCTAACATGATGAGAATGGAGAAAGCAAATGCCTCAATAATGCAGGTGGTGATAAGCAGTTTAACTGGGAATCTCTGTAGCCTACAATTGGCTTAGTAGTTTGGCTAATGTGTTACCTGTCTTTTTCTCAATAAAGCAGAGTAAATGTTTAATATGGCATTAAAATATCACGGTCAAATTTGGAGTTTATAGCCTACAGTCCCAGGCCCTGACTTACATAACAGCAGTGTCACAGAAGCCCCAGGGTGGGTGGGTGCAGGTGCATGCTATGGCCAGAGCAGTTATGTAGGGTGGGTCACAATGCTCGCTTTTAAGTGCTATGGGTAGGCCGTCTGCATTGGTTTCCAGTGGGCAGGAGACAGGCTGTTGGAGCCACTGCCCCCAAAACATTACTCAGGAGAACATACTGTAGCTCAGTGTAGTGGCTTAGTGGCCATAGATGGATTATGCTAAAGCCCTACTGACTATCTGTCCATTTGAGGAGATGGTGTGTGTGAATTCCATTCCTCAACCTAACCTCCCCTACACTAGAATGCAGCCCGATAAGGAAAATCTGCAGTTCCCTAACAGGCACCAGTTGCCAACTGATACTTAGCAATAATATTATTAAGTTGTCTGTAGGCTTAACAGGCCAAAGATAAAAGTAAAGTCTGCAGGCAGCACTGCAAGGTACTCACTGTCACACAGTCACACTTTGCAAGGCTATGTTGTTAGGAATATTTAATCTTCTCTCTGGGGGAAATGTTGAGAGTCCAATGGTAATCCATTTGCCAGAGGTGTCATTTACATGGCAATCTGGAGTTCTCTGAATAAAAAAATGAAATGGAAATTATGCTTCATATGAGCTGGTATCTTGCTCAACCTGCTCTGAAACAAAGTCCCATGCAATACATAGAGTCAAAGGCTTGCACCCTTCCAGGGGCGGGTTAAGGTTGGCTCTTAGCACAGAAATTAAGGACAGGAAACAAAGTTCAGCCCAGCTTTCTACTCAAACTTGGCTGTTCCTACATGAGGCTGCTTAAGCAACACCCCTGACTCCAGCAGCCTCATGTAGGAACAGCCAAGTTTGAGTAGAAAGCTGGGCTGAACTTTGTTTCCTGTCCTTAATTTCTGTGCTAAGAGCCAACCTTAACCCGCCCCTGGAAGGGTGCAAGCCTTTGACTCTATGTATTGCATGGGACTTTGTTTCAGAGCAGGTTGAGCAACTCCCACTTCCTTTATATTCAGTTGGTCTGACAATCCACCTAGCTCAATGGGTCAATAGAATCCCCCAAGATCTACACATGGTAAAAGCATGAGGTAGTTCAGGCAAATATTGAAGCCTGTTTTTTATCTAGCACTCAGAACCATAACTCAGACAGAATTAAACCAAACCTTACAATAGGTTCAAGGAGAGCTTAATATTTTAGATGTTTTCTTACTACTTTTGGCAGAACTGTCGTTAAGTAATTGTTTTAAAAATTAACAGATAGGCGAGGGAATTATATTTCTGAAAATATTGCAGTTTTTCTGGCCATCCAGCTTGCTCCAGTTTGGATGATTTGTAATTCTGTAGTTACTGAACTGAATGGTGTTTTGTTTATGTAGAATCCTGCCTTTCTCCCATTTCATTTAGAAAACACATAATATCCTAAAATTGTTTTCTTGCAGAGTCGAATGGATGTGTACACAGGCCGCTTTCCAGATGAAACATCTGCTAAAAACTTACTGCACTGGGCCCAGGTAAAACTTCTGAAATCTTTCAATATTCTGTGATTTATGCTCTCTGATCATAGTTAAAACCTGATTTATTCAGAACAGACAGGTATTTATTTATCAATGAGATTTTAATATAGTGACATAATCCTTTGAGTTCCATCTTTGACGTTGTTGGTTACTGAGAGTTTTCAGTGTGAAAGGACAGGCATGTAGGAAAGCTATGAATATTAAGATTGTAAAGTCACACACTCAAAAGTTAGGAAATTCCAGAATCAAGTTTGCTCAGGCAACTTTAATTAAGCCCCCTTGTGCATAGGTATTATGATACAGTCTTTAATTACATGATCACAAGCTATTTTTTTCCACAGGGCCCTGCCTCATTCAGTGCACAGGATGGACATGGTTCAGGAAACCTAGACATTTTCCAATAAACGCCAACTGGTTTAACTGAAATTTGCCAAAAGAATTTAGCCTGAACTAGACGCCCAGCCTGAAAAACTTCAGCCTAAATTAAAGTTTGGCAAACTGAAAACAGGGTCTTATAATGAAAAGTGCCAGGTGATCTTAACTATAGGGGTTGCTGCTCATCTCAGTGACGAACACCAGTATAGAAAGCAGTTCTGAAAAGGAAAATTATAATTCTTTTAATTGTTTATATATAGTGTCAAGAAAGAGAGAGAGTGAAAAACTCATGGGCTATGTAATACCAAAATCTGTCAATACAAAGTTCTTAAAAAGCACCCCTTGTGCACGTTAATGATAAAGTTAACAAAAAGGAAAAACTTGTTTGTTAGCAGATACAGATTAAAAATTACTCGTCGCCAATGAAAAGTGAGAAGTGATTTTATTTTTTTATGCTCAAAATGTGCTGTTGTAGATGCAAAGGGTTAAATTCTGATCCTATTGAAGTCAATGAGTGTTTTGCCAAAATTTCATCCAAAATGTCTAAAGTTCTGCATAATGTAACATAATTGATTCATGATAGTTTAAGACAGAACAGCACACTGATATGCAAAGGCATGTGGATAATTTGTCTAATTTTACACTTTCTTTTCTTCTTTTTGCTAGGCAGTTAAATCAGGAGAATTCAAATATTTTGACTATGGCAGTGAGAACAAGGCTAAGTACAACCAGGTAGAGAGAAATGATTTTTATTGAAAACTAAGTGATCTTTTAAAAATAAGAATGATCCCCTGCCTTCCCACACTCAGTCACAACACATCCCCAATCTGTTACAGCATTTGACTACAGGAAAACTAGCATTAGTTTATGGACTTTTGGGGTGTATTTAATATGGGTTTCATCCATTTGAAAAACTTAATTATACTGTCTCCTTTTGTTCCTCATTTCATCTCCTCCATTATTTGTTCATTTCCTCTCTTTCCCCAGGCTTCTCTGCACCTGCTCATCTGGTCGACTTCTTCTTCACTTTCCTGCCCTGTGTTCACTGCTGCTTTGTCCTCACCTTCCATGCACAAGGTCATTGTTACTTGGCCCTTGTCTCCTCCTGTACGTGCTCCTCCGCTTCTGGGTCTTCCTCTCTCCCTGCACAGCCTCCAGCTTCTTTTCTTCCCCACTGCCTTGTATATGTTCCAGTTCCCTTCCTGCACGTTCTCCTGATCCTGGTTCCCTGCCATGTGTTTCCTTTCTCCTCTGATCTCTGATGCATACTGCCTGTTTCCCTTCTCTGCTGGATGTTTGTCTCCAGCTGGGTGGGTCTTGGCTCTTCTCCCACTGGCAACTTCTTTCCAGCAGCAAATCTGTGAGAACAGTTCCTTTTCCTCCTACTAATCCCATGTAGCACTGATCCCTAGTGAGGAAACTAGGCAGGCTTATCCCGCTGATTTCCAGTGACCCTAATGGGCACCCAGACGCTATGTTACAATGATGAATTGGGACACATGTAGAAGGCAGCTCTTTACGGAGCAACAGCAGGTGCTGTGTAGACTATTGAGCACGGTTTGAGAGCTGCTGTCCCAAAACACTGATTATCTCAGATGAAGCTGGCAATTTTGTACAGCAGTCAAATGGTTAATCAATGATTTTTGTTTAAAAATTAAGACAGGGTCTGAGACTTACATTTTTGTCTTTCAGTCTGTCCCTCCCTGCTATAAGATAGAAGATATGACTGTGCCCACTGCAGTATGGTCCGGTGGAGAGGACTGGATGGTAGACCCAAAGGATATTGACATGTTACTCCCTCAAATTACTAACCTAGTTTACCACAAGAATATTTCTGACTGGAACCACTGGGATTTCACCTGGGGTCTTGATGCAGCCAAGCGTGTGTACAGTGAAATTATTGCACTGATGGGAAAGTATCCATAAAACCACACAGCATTGTTTGAGAATTAATTAGTTAATTTAGATTTATTGAAATCTACTTTCTGTATGTGTGGCAATAGGCTGCTTTTCTAGTTGCTATTTTTTGAGTCCATCATGGTGCTTGTAAACGGATTAGGGGGTTACTCTGAAAGGATTTAATATGTACTTTTTTTTTTGGTCGTGGTACCAATTTTTCCCCATCTTCCTGGTGAAATTCAGCAACCAGGATTCTGTTACTCAGAAAACTGAATTATATTTCTCAAAGGAAACACTTCTGAAACCAAAACTAAAATCTTATAGTGCATGTTACAGCTGTGAGCCAGAATATGCATGCATGCCTTAAATCTCTTAGCACAGTCCATCATTAGATGTTAAACTAATGAGGACATTTCTCTGGTCCAGTTAAAATACTAGAGAACTTTCCCATGTTACATATTAAAAATGTTTTTAATTTGGTAATCAATAATGCAGCCTTTCATATATAGTTAAGATAGTCTATGTTAGTTTTACTTTGACCGTTTATTTTGTATAGATACACATGAATATACACAATAATAAGACAGCAAAAGCATGATAGGAAAAATACACACATCAAAGGATATCCTTGAATTGAAAGGCTTGTGAAAAAAGATAGAATCACACTCGGAAGAGATGTATGGGGACGGGGGGGAATCAATGTCTGAATCTAAAACATTTGTGTACAATTTAGAGCATAAAGTTATATTTCTTTCTCATGTAAATTATATTTTTACTTCCAAAAATTGCTCCCACACCTCCCAACATTTTGCCAGGTCACGAAGCTCTCAGTCTATCAGCTTCACATAACCCTATTTCTCCTTTACACTGAAATCAGTCTTCTGATATTGGTCAATATGGATTCCATCCACCTTGTCACAGAGAATATAGCTAATGCAATCTAGTTCTTTCAATTGTGAGAGGTTCTTAATTTCAGTAAGGGTATTATGTGGATGAACTGAGGGTATGTCTACACTACGGAATAAGGTCGAATTTATAGAAGTCGGTTTTTTAGAAATCGGTTTTATAAATTCGAGTGTGTGTGTCCCCACAGTAAATGCTCTAAGTGCATTAAGTGCATTAACTCGGCGGAGCGCTTCCACAGTACCGAGGCAAGCGTCGACTTCCGGAGCGTTGCACTGTGGGTAGCTATCCCACAGTTCCCGCAGTCTCCGCTGCCCATTGGAATTCTGGGTTGAGATCCCAATGCCTGATGGGGCTAAAACATTGTCGCGGGTGGTTCTGGGTACATATCGTCAGCCTCCCGTTCCCTCCCTCCCCCGTGAAAGCAAGGGCAGACAATCATTTCGCGCCTTTTTTCCTGAGTTACCTGTGCAGACGCCATACCATGGCAAGCATGGAGCCCGCTCAGGTAACCGTCACCCTATGTCTCCTGGGTGCTGGCAGACGCGGTACGGCATTGCTACACAGTAGCAGCAACCCCTTGCCTTGTGGCAGCAGACGGTACAGTACGACTGGTAGCCGTCATCGTCATGTCTGAGGTGCTCCTGGTCGCCTCTGTGAGGTCGATCAGGAGCGCCTGGGCAGACATGGGCACAGGGACTAAATTTGGAGTGACTTGACCAGGTCATTCTCTTTAGTCCTGCAGTCAGTCCTATTGAACCGTCTTATGGTGAGCGGGCAGGCGATACGGACTGCTAGCAGTCGTGCTGTACCATCTTCTGCCGAGCAGTCATGAGATGTGGATGGCATGCAGTCCGTCTGCTGCCAGCCAAAGATGTAAAAGATAGATGGAGTGGGTCAAAACAAGAAATAGACCAGATTTGTTTTGTACTCATTTGCTTCCCCCCCTCCCCTGTCTAGGGGACTCATTCTTCTAGATCACACTGCAGTCAAGGTGCAGCGAGGTAAATCTAGCCATGTATCAATCAGAGGCCAGGCTAACCTTCTTGCTCCAATAAGGACAATAACTTAGGTGCACCATTTCTTATTGGAACCCTCTGTGAAGTCCTGCCTGAAATACTCCTTGATGTAAAGCCACCCCCTTTGTTGATTTTAGCTCCCTGAAGCCAACCCTGTAAGCGCCCCTCCCAGCGTCAGAGCAATGGCAAACAATCGGGCATCTGAGAGTGCTGTCCAGAGCAGTCACAATGGAGCGCTCTGATGGGGCTAAAACATTGTCGCGGGTGGTTCTGGGTACGTGTCGTCAGGCCCCCGTTCCCTCCCTCCCTCCCGTGAAAGCAAGGGCAGACAATCATTTCGCGCCTTTTTTCCTGAGTTACCTGTGCAGACGCCATACCACAGCAAGCATGGAGCCCGCTCAGATAACCGTCACCCTATGTCTCCTGGGTGCTGGCAGACGCGGTACGGCTTTGCTGCACAGTAGCAGCAACCCCTTGCCTTCTGGCAGCAGACGGTGCAATACGACTGGTAGTCGTCCTCATCGTGTCCGAGGTGCTCCTGGCCGCGTCGGCTGGGAGCGCCTGGGCAGACATGGGCGCAGGGACTAAATTTGGAGTGACTTGACCAGGTCATTCTCTTTAGTCCTGCAGTCAGTCCTATTGAACCGTCTTATGGTGAGCAGGCAGGCGATACGGACTGCTAGCAGTCGTACTGTACCATCTTCTGCCAGGCAGGCAAGAGATGAGGATTGCTAGCAGTCGTATTGCACCATCTTCTGCCAGGCAGGCAAGAGATGGGGATGGCTAGCAGGCGTACTGTACCATCTTCTGCCAAGCAGCCATGAGATGTGGATGGCATGCAGTCCTTCTGCACCGTCTGCTGCCAGCCAAAGATGTAAAAGATAGATGGAGTGGGTCAAAACAAGAAATAGACCAGATTTGTTTTGTACTCATTTGCCTCCTCCCCTGTCTAGGGGACTCATTCCTCTAGGTCACACTGCAGTCACTCACAGAGAAGGTGCAGCGAGGTAAATCTAGCCATGTATCAATCAGAGGCCAGGCTAACCTCCTTGTTCCAATAACAACGATAACTTAGGTGCACCATTTCTTATTGGAACCCTCCGTGCAGTCCTGCCTGAAATACTCCTTGATGTACAGGCACCCCTTTGTTGATTTTAGCTCCCTGAAGCCAACCCTGTAAGCCGTGTCGTCAGTCGCCCCTCCCTCCGTCAGAGCAACGGCAGACAATCGTTCCGCGCCTTTTTTCTGTGCGGACGCCATACCACGGCAAGCATGGAGCCCGCTCAGCTCACTTTGGCAATTAGGAGCACATTAACCACCACACGCATTATTCAGCAGTATATGCAGCACCAGAACATGGCAACGCGATACCGGGCGAGGAGGCGACGTCAGCGCGGTCCCGTGAGTGATCAGGACATGGACACAGATTTCTCTGAAAGCATGGGCCCTGACAATGCATGCATCATGGTGCTAATGGGGCAGGTTCATGCTGTGGAACGCCGATTCTGGGCTCGGGAAACAAGCACAGACTGGTGGGACCGCATAGTGTTGCAGGTCTGGGACGATTCCCAGTGGCTACGAAACTTTCGCATGCGTAAGGGCACTTTCATGGAACTTTGTGACTTGCTTTCCCCTGTCCTGAAGCGCATGAATACCAAGATGAGAGCAGCCCTCACAGTTGAGAAGCGAGTGGCGATAGCCCTGTGGAAGCTTGCAACGCCAGACAGCTACCGGTCAGTTGGGAATCAATTTGGAGTGGGCAAATCTACTGTGGGGGCTGCTGTGATGCAAGTAGCCCACGCAATCAAAGATCTGCTGATATCAAGGGTAGTGACCCTGGGAAATGTGCAGGTCATAGTGGATGGCTTTGCTGCAATGGGATTCCCTAACTGTGGTGGGGCTATAGATGGAACCCATATCCCTATCTTGGCACCGGAGCACCAAGCCGCCGAGTACATAAACCGCAAGGGGGTACTTTTCGATAGTGCTGCAAGCTCTGGTGGATCACAAGGGACGTTTCACCAACATCAACGTGGGATGGCCGGGAAAGGTGCATGATGCTCGCATCTTCAGGAACTCTGGTCTGTTTCAAAAGCTGCAGGAAGGGACTTTATTCCCAGACCAGAAAATAACTGTTGGGGATGTTGAAATGCCTATATGTATCCTTGGGGACCCAGCCTACCCCTTAATGCCATGGCTCATGAAGCCGTACACAGGCAGCCTGGACAGTGGTCAGGAGCTGTTCAACTACAGGCTGAGCAAGTGCAGAATGGTGGTAGAATGTGCATTTGGACGTTTAAAGGCGCGCTGGCGCAGTTTACTGACTCGCTTAGACCTCAGCGAAACCAATATTCCCACTGTTATTACTGCTTGCTGTGTGCTCCACAATATCTGTGAGAGTAAGGGGGAGACGTTTATGGCGGGGTGGGAGGTTGAGGCAAATCGCCTGGCTGCTGGTTACGCGCAGCCAGACACCAGGGCGGTTAGAAGAGCACAGGAGGGCGCGGTACGCATCAGAGAAGCTTTGAAAAACAGTTTCATGACTGGCCAGGCTACGGTGTAAAAGTTCTGTTTGTTTCTCCTTGATGAAACCCCCGCCCCTTGGTTCACTCTACTTCCCTGTAAGCCAACCACCCTCCCCTCCTCCCTTTAATCATTGCTTGCAGAGCCAATAAAGTCATTGCTGCTTCACAGTCATGCATTCGTTATTCATTCATCACACAAATAGGGGGATGACTACCAAGGTATCCCAGGAGGGGTGGTGGAGGAGGGAAGGAAAATGCCACACAGCACTTTAAGCACAGCACTTTAAAAGTTTACAACTTTAAAATTTATTGAATGACAGCCTTCTTTTTTTGGGCAATCCTCTGTGGGGGAGTGGCTGGTTGGCCGGAGGCCCCCCACCGCGTTCTTGGGCGTCTGGGTGTGGAGGCTATGGAACTTGGGGAGGGAGGGCGGTTGGTTACAGAGGGGCTGCAGTGGCAGTCTGTGCTCCAGCTGCCTTTGCTGCAGCTCAACCATACACTGGAGCATACTGGTTTGGTCCTGCAGCAGCCTCAGCATTGAATCCTGCCTCCTCTCATCACGCTGCCGCCACCTTTGAGCTTCAGCCCTGTCTTCAGCCCGCCACTTACTCTCTTCAGCCCGCCACTTACTCTCTTCAGCCCTCCACCTCTCCTCCCGGTCATTTTGTGCTTTCCTGCACTCTGACATTATTTGCCTCCACGCATTCGTCTGTGCTCTGTCAGTGTGGGAGGACAGCATGAGCTCGGAGAACATTTCATCGCGAGTGCGTTTTTTTTTTCTTTCTAAGCTTCACTAGCCTCTGGGAAGGAGAAGATCCTGTGATTACTAACCTAGTTTACCACAAGAATATTTCTGACTGGAACCACTGGGATTTCACCTGGGGTCTTGATGCAGCCAAGCGTGTGTACAGTGAAATTATTGCACTGATGGGAAAGTATCCATAAAACCACACAGCATTGTTTGAGAATTAATTAGTTAATTTAGATTTATTGAAATCTACTTTCTGTATGTGTGGCAATAGGCTGCTTTTCTAGTTGCTATTTTTTGAGTCCATCATGGTGCTTGTAAACGGATTAGGGGGTTACTCTGAAAGGATTTAATATGTACTTTTTTTTTTTTTGGTCGTTGTACCAATTTTTCC